CCGATATTTTGCCTGTAGGTGCGGGGGAGCTCACACTTATAAAAAAATTCTTAAAAGAAGAATGCTGCACGATTTATGTCCAAATTTTCCGTCTTCCCATGATGCATTTCGATCGTGCATAGAAGTTTGTTGTACCTGGTCTTCAAAAGAGGGGTGTTTAAAAATCTGCAGTGCATTTGACAAAATAAAAACATCGAAATGAGGACGTTCTATCAAAGGGGTTTGCAAACCAAGTGGACTTTTTGCTAGGAGAACATATTTTGACGCTACAAATTGAGATGAAAATCAGTGTACTCTGCCGTCCTTCAAACTCAGATTTTGGCATTCATTTCAAAGCAGAGTCATGYTTTGTGTCTTTTTTTTCCTCGTTGCGAAATTCCTTTAACTGTAAGATCGACAGTATCTACTWGTAAGTTCGTACGAGCAATTTCAGGGCTCTAGCTTAATATTTCGGCAACTTATAGACTTATGACGCATAGGTCGAATTCGACCTAAATTTCAAGGGGCAGACGGGAAAGAGTTAAGGATTCTTTAAAAAGTAGGCGTCAATGGATAGGGAATTCTTAAAGTTTATACTACTACAATAAGACCAATTTTAGAGTACGGAGTACAAGTCTGGCAAGACATACCTGAATTTCTTTCTGATAAGCTAGAATCAATCCAGAAGAGGGCTTTATATATTATTTATCCATATCATAATTATTTATGATTTTTTTTCAATTTTACTAACATATKCAGCCTTAAAGAAAGAAGATTCCATATTTTTTTGTAATYCTTAGCCCTTTAATTCAGTTAATTCTGCAATGTGGCAAATAAACGATTTATTATTATTATTATTATCATAGACCTTCGCTAGGTTTTGAAGCAATCAAAGACGGATAACAGAACTCGCTTATGCAACAGATGGCTTGCTGTCCCTGTGGGATGGTTAATTATTCAAAATGTTCTATGTTGCAGTAAATTGTGCATGCCTAATAGCGACTAAACTCAGCAGTTACCTTAATTGTCCTTTGTGTGTGTTTTTTTTAAAGATCCGAGCCGAAGGTGAGGGTCTTTATCACCCGATAAAACACACTCTTTCGATCTTTATACACTACGTATAGTATAACTTGTATATATTAGATAAAATTATTCCTAGTCTTATCTTTTATCTAGAAAGAAACAGTGCCCAATTCACCGTTTCGGCTCTAACGTTCACGTGTCATGTCACGTGATCTGGAATGTAAACATCGCGTGAAAGTTCGGACATTCTTGTAAGGTCGCGGTATATGTTAACGTTGGAAAGGTTCGACCTTCTATGAAGCCAAAAGCTGACGATGGCCAAAATTTTTACGACCTCTGGTTTATTTTAGAAGGAAGAGGACTTAACAAAGGAAGTGCCCTTGCCGCTAGATGCAAGTGTAAAGGAGGTAGAGATGGAGGGTGCAAGCATATTGCTGCAGCGATGTATTCCCTTGAAGATCTGCTACACTCTCGTAGCATCGACAGTGTCACGAGCGGGCCATGTTTGTGGGTGAAACGACCCACATCTAGCACCAAGCCATGCGAAGTTAGATCTTTAAAAGTTGAAAAGATAAAAAAGCCTTCACATAAAAAAACAGAAAAGGAAACATTTATACTCACAAGTGATTGATGTGGACGTTCGTGCAAAAGACGACAGGGGTTACCCCGATGTTAAGTACTTTGAAGACCTCACGAACAAGATGGAGAAACTCGCTATCTTCCCATTGTTTCAAAAACTGTATGCTGACTTAAATTTGGTTCAAGCTGAGACCCCTGCAATGCCACCAGTTTGTGAAACTGGAATTCTTCATGAGAAGGTGAAGAAACTTTTGCTAGAAAACCCACTTTTGGAACCAGAACAGCTGACCGACCAAATCATATTAACTGATGAAGAAACCTCAAGTATTTCTGAAACAACCACAGAACAGTTTAAATGTGAAGCATGGTACAAGCAAATGTCAGGCTTCATAACCTCTTCAATTTGTAAAAGAGTGTTTACAAGGGAATGGGGGTTGAAGAATGAAAACAGTGCACGCTATGCATATAAGCGCCTTTCAAGCCACAAGCACCACAAGTTAAGTCTAATATCAAAAGGCTTTTTGATATCAGAAACCAAACCATTCTTGGGTGCAAGTGTAGATAATCTTCAGTCATGTGAGTGTGCTGATGGTTGTGCCAAAGCAGTAGTGGAATATAAATGCCCATGGAAATACAAGGACACTGACCCCAAAGAAGCATTTGTATCTCCAGAAGTGGGCGGTTACAAAGATGGTGACAAGTATTTTCTCAGAAGAAATTCTAAGTACTTCTACCAAGTACAGCTTCAAATGTTTGTCACCAAACTTAAACTCTGTCACTTTGTTGTATGGACAACCAAGGGTATCTTGCACATTGAGATTCCATTTGACCATCCTTTTATGCTGGAAGTTATTACAAAGCTTGAAAAATTCTGGATCGCTCATGTTTTACCTGCTATAATGTGCAATTATATTTCTCCCAATGAACAATCTTGTGGTAAGTGAATTATGTTCAATATAAATATTACACATTTACATCATTTTGTATATTTAGTAAATAGTACTTTTGCAATACATAATACATTGTAGAAAACCCAGAAGGGTCTAGTGGCATACCTAGTGAATGTCAAAATCTTGAAGTCAGCAAGTCCACAAAAGAGTTAGAAGGTCAGATTAATTTTCACTATCAAACTTTAACTTTGTAGCCACAGATGTTGTTAGTTTGCATTCTCACTTATTATTGTTGTTGTTGCTATTATCATTTGTTAACAGATAGTGCAAGAGAGGCGGTGCCCATGGTGGACCTTACATTCGCACCTGATTCACAGGGAAAAGCTAGCCAGAGCCCTGTTCATGCCTTTGGCTTGGATATTTATCCAGTTGATGTGCAAACCCTGACCCCAGGGACTATGATCAATGACACTGTAGTTGTTTTTCTACTGCAGTATGTAAACATTTTGAAATTTTATTGATACTCTTCTAAATCAAAAATCATAACAAGGTACGTTTTTTTCCAAATAGACAGTTATCCATTCAATATCCCATTGTCAACACTTTCTTCTACACCACTTTATGCGGAGAACAAGATGTTGGGCAAAGAACTACAAGGTTTTTTTGAAATTGCAACTGATATTAAACCACCTTTTAGATTTCTTAAAACCTTTATCATTATTCTTAAGATTGGTTAGAATGCAGTCATCAGAGAAGTTCTTCAGTGCCAGGATAATAAAGAATGATTATATCTTTATTCCTATCAATCGAAGGTAAGATAGTTGGATGTTAACATAAGGTTCAATCACTCCTTGATCTTGCAAATATATTAATTTATATTATTGTGTTAACTGCAGCCTTCACTGGTTTCTTGCGATATTAACTCCATGGTATGTATTGATATCCCATATTTACCTTGGTTGTACTGCATCATATTTTGTATGTTCAACATCATAAATTGGGATTATAAGTAGCAATAAAACTACATCTCTTTTATAATTTCATACATAAATATAGGCACCTGTTGTTCCTGAATTCACTGACATGCGATATCACTACTAGGAAGACTGAAGCTGAAAATATATTAGGGTATAAATTCAAAATTTCAATACATCTACATAWATTATATGCATAATTTCAATTGATCATTTTATGGTTCTAATTGTTTATTTTTTTCAAGGTTTTTGGATYACTACTGTAAGAAGTATGGGCTTCCTATGAGGACATCCAATCTGTCAAGCTATGCGATGAAGGTAGTGATTAAAGACACAATGATTCACTAACAGCAATACTTATATATCTGCATTTAATTTCTTAAGGTGCCAMAACAATCATTTGGTAGTAACAACTGTGGGTTCCATATGTTTATGTTCATCAGCCACTTTGTTAAGGTAGGAAAAAGCTGATGAGAGCAATCTCTATTATTCATTAAAGATTGATTAAACTATAGCATTTTGTCTGAATCCTAGGAACTTAAAGAATACAAAGAAGATCCAAGTGGATATGTTGCTACCATTCACAACTGGTTTGATCCGGTGCATGCCGAACAAAAAAGAACTGAAACAAGGAATTCATTGAGCTCATTATTTTAATAATTATTTAATTTTCAATCTTCCATATCACTTATAGCAGCTGGCTGTATATTTACTAACATGGCACAAACAGTGACAACTGAGTCAATGTATGGCTTATGCGTGAGAGAAATTACWCCCCTGAGAAAACAGAATAACTTTAGCATTCTGATCATTCGTTCAATGTGAACTCTTGCTGTTGCAACACGTCTTGTTGCTGTTGATGCTTTTGCTGATATGTTTGTTTTACTCATCATTGGAGGGGCATGTAAAAGTGCATTGTGCAATGCCAAGAGGTCCTGAATATTAAACCCCTTGTCAGCCATCACACCATCCCCTGGTTGGAGGTGGTCCAGGAAGCCACTAGTTCTAACAATTTCCTTGTCACTTATGCTTCCACTGTAAAGTTTTGATACAAAATTAAAATGACATATAGGAGACACAAGCAGCTTAAAAGTATTTGATGATTTGTACTGACTATATGTTGACCTCTGGGTTGATGGCTTTGAAGGTTTCTCAATATAAAATTCAGTACAATCTATTATTGCCCGCACATCCTGAAAAGGCTTTTGTTTGAAAACTTTTGGTTTTGCAATTCCTTTTAAATCTTCCCTGGTGGAAAAGGGCAATAGGTACTGCAATTCTTTCTCCAATAACATTACCCAAGACAGAAAAATACGACTTCCAGTCCCCTGGCTAATTCCAAAAATGTCACATAAGAATTCCAAACTTGGGTTTCGTTTTAGTCTCACCAAGGTAAATACAAACTGTTCTAATGGTGTAAGTTTACTCCACTTCTGTCTTTGCTGTTGATTAAGGTAAAACCAAGACATTATTTCCAAGTGGCTATAAGTAAACTTACACAGAGATACTAACCTTTAAGTACTTGCTACGAATGTTACCACTTTTTGTGTCTGTAGTTCCTTTCCACAAATTCATGCGCTCRGATTTTTCTTTGACCAAGCTAAAAACCAGAAGAAGGGACTCTTTTGTCATTCCTTAGAAATAATAAATAGGTTTGTTAGCATAACATTGAGTTACAATCTACATTTCTGACCATAACTTACCTGTGTAGTGATTGGTTTTCCTTTCATCCATTACTTTCTCCATAAATAAGCTKTTCATGAGTTGGTCTTTTCCAAAAGTCTGTTCGAGTGATATAAATATTACACTTATAACATCATGAGCGGTTTCGGTAAATGGCGGTATCGAAGCGGAATTTAAACTTACTTGAGTGCTTGCGTGTGTAAATAGAATTTCTTCTCGATACTCGGACTGAGAACTATCAGTCAGTTCGAATGGAAGAGCACATTCATTCATAGCGATARCTATTTCAGCTTCTATTTCCAAATCATGTTCGTCCTTTTCAATGATGGTTTGGTCGTTGACGAAGCTCTCGGCTGTAGACAAGTTCAACAGCGTTTCTGCTACCTCAATTTCGTCTTTTGATTTTACATGTAACGGTGTTGTTCCTAGTTTAAGAAGGCCTTTGGCTGCTGTTTGTTTGAGATATCTTCCTTGCTTTTATTTTACATTGTTCTCTATCGCTAGACGACTTTCGCTTACGATTAAGACGCACGACCTACGGAACGTGAAGCGAATTTAGCTTGCCATCTTTACTTAATCTTCAAGTTCAAAGCGATAAACATGATGGAAAATATACTTCAACTTACTTTTTCTTTACTTGCTACAGCARAAATGGGGTCTGGGTCTTCGTCTGTTGGTCCATTTGCACCAACAAAGTGAATGCTGCATATATAACTGTCTTTCGTACATAASAAAGAATCGCCACGATGACAAGCTGCTATACAGCGCTGTCTCCTTTCGTTTTGTCGACCTGAACCAGGAAAGTGATAAAACTTCACAGGATCCTTTCTTGCGTTTCTTATCCATCGTTCGGGATATCGAGAATCGTTTTTGCATGTGCCGTAAGCACATCTTTTAGTAGTCACCATTGCGTGTTCGTACAAATGACTRTACCGCGACCTTACAAGAATGTCCGAACTTTCACGCGATGTTTACATTCCAGATCACGTGACATGACACGTGAACGTTAGAGCCGAAACGGTGAATTAATATAGACTTTCATTGTGTTAAAGAGAGTGTATCGCAGAAATAATATAAATAAATATAAATATTAAAAACATATGTCAATGTTTTGCCTTCTTTATCTGTAGAAAAATGAAGTTATGGAATGGTGGGAGGAAGAGGAGTCCGACTGTCAGCCCGGTATCTCCATTTTTAGGGGGATGAAGCTAGATCCGGCACCTATTGTGTTTTCAAGCTCATCTGATGATGAAGTGGAGTGCGAAACTACGACAAATGAAGACGTAAGTTTGCCAAATCTCTCTCTTTTTAACAGGAGCCTGCTCTCGAACGAGAAAACGTCCTACTTTGAAAMATGATCACCGACCAGTTAAGGTATTTTCACATTAGGGGCATTGTTGTAGCGTTTTATTAGAAATTCGCCTGCTGCACTTGCTTAGTTAGTAAGTTCTTCATTTTCAGGTAGATCCAATAGAAGAACTTACAATTTCCATGAGCGGACTGAGCTCACCAGACAACACCCCTGTTAAAAAAAGGCTAAGAGAATGGAGCAGAGTGGTGCCCTTTCGAGGAATATTGGGTTTAGCTCAGATGATGATAGCTCGCTTGAAGACATGCTGGAGAACTATAAAAAAGAGTATGTATTGTATTATAAAACAATAGTTCAGGAATTAAAAATATGAAATATCAACTTAAAACCTTTTCACTTCGGAACTCACTTATACGWTTTAATTGTTTCCCGACTTAGAGTGACTGTTACATTTATAAAAAGGGGGAAGAGGGGGAAGAGGACGTACCTAAATACACAAAGTGCGAACAAAATGGAAGCCATCGAGGTAGAAAAGGTTCCTCCAACTGCAAATGGTGATGCCAAGTACAATGTTAAGTACAACATGAGTGATCCTTAAGCTAATGTTGCTGACAGGTGGAATTGGGATAGAGCACATCCCTGCAAAAGGAAGGGCTTCTGTAAAGATGGGAGGCGGACACTCCAAAAATGCCATGGACAATTTTAGCAAATCCCAGGAACAACAAAATGCAATGATGAACCAGTTTCTTGGAGCAGTTACTGGAAACAGATAGCGTCACCACGCCAAGCAATCAAAATCTTTTGTACACCAAACTTAGCCAATGAGAACTCATTACACTTCAACATTTYGATCCTACTGATGAGTATAAAATGAAGTGAGCATCAGAAAAATTTCATTGTTGTTTACAACGCGAATTAAAAGTCATTACTAAAGAAAGTTTTACCTCGAACGAATAAGATGTCTCAAAAGTGTTTCATTTGCCCGTTGACCCTCAAGATGGATGGTTAGTTGGTTGGCAAGACGACCGTTGTCTGTGGCAACATGATGGCTGCGAAAACTCTTCTGTACAAGAAGTCAGCACGGGTATGTGTATGACCCCTACTTTTATCTAATTTTATTAATAACTAATTCAATTTCATTCTCTTTTTCAGAAATGGAAGTATCTATTGATGAACCTCTGATCCATGATATTACCGAGCAGGCTCCAATTACATTCGAGAAAATTAAGGAATCCTCCGAGCACGGGAGAGAGCTACTTGTTGATTCAATGGGATACCGTTATGGAGTTCAAAGGCGTTTTAAGACCACCACCCATTGGATGTGTACCATTCGGCCAAAGCACAACCCTTGTCGAGCTTAAGTCATTGAATCATCGTCTGGTTCCTTCACCCTCGGCGTCCAAGCCCACAACCACCCTGGTACTCCTGGTTTTGCTTTGGTGTCCAAAATTAAAAAGAAAGTTAAAGATGCTGC